CTCAATAAATTTGTGAGAGGCTCAAAGCGCTTTCGTTTATTATATAGGAATTATTAGTTAGCGCTATTCTTGCTTTCTTTTTTATAGCAAATTTCTTTTTAATTTTCTTAATCCCATAATCCCATCTAGTTTTGCTTTTATGATGCATGAAAACAATTAGTAACAAAGTGAAGTTAGTTGTGGTTCCAAAAAGTTTTCCTGAGATCAGCTACATTATTTTAACTTTTTTGTTTGGAACTGCTTTGAGTTGAAGTCAGAATTTTCTTGAGTAGGTAAAATACTCAAGCTGAACTTTTTTGTTTGTGTTGTTGTTGCTTTACATATGATTCGTAATATTAACTAGAGTTTTTTAGCAAGAACTTATGGCTACTATAACTGTTTTAGAAAAATTTTAGATGCTTCAAATATACTACAGTTGTTTATATTGAGAGTGAAAAGATGTCTCTTAGTTAAATAAGCAAATTTACTGTTATCTTTAAGCTACTTCTGCACATTCCCAAGAACTTTTTCAGTAACTAGAATTCTAATCTCTGAGCTATTTATGCATTATGAAGCACACATCTAACATGAGGTGAAATTTATCGCTTTTAATTTGATTCCCTGCTGCTGTGAATGTCAACGAGCATCAAATGCCAAACTCTTTTGCTTTTCTACCTAAAACTCGTATTGAAGTAATTGCAGCATATTTATTATTCTCGTCACGTCTTGACTTGGCATTTCAGCGAGTTTTTAATCGCCAAAAGATTTTTTGCCAGATAGAAGTAATATGCGACATCGAAACAACAGAAAGTAATTAAATAAATAAGCTGCTTAATGATTAAGTAATTAAAGCGAAGTTCATAAATCAGCAGTGATTTAGTGGCAAAACCAGAAGAAGAAGAAGAGCAAAAATTATGGCACAAAATCCGCAATGGATAAACGCATTAGCAACACAAATAAGAAGGTGATAAAAAAAATGTTTTTATTTTCACTTTTAATAATAATTTTTATTTTTTTTAACGCAAATAGCAAACCAAAGAGATATGAGCAGTTGTTTGGCTAAAAATACAAATTAAATATAAATACAAGACAGATAATGTGTTTACCCTTCTTGAGTTCTGATGATAATTATTCTATTGAGCCATTTTTAGCAAAAGCGCTCACCTTTATACCCGCTCGCATACTAAGAACGCTAACAAGTAGTTCTATAGGCCGGAATTTCACGTTGAATCTAAAATTATTCAGTTTTATTGTTTTTCTCGGAAGCAGTTGGCAAAATATTTACATACATAGATACGAATACAAATTATGTTTGTCGCAGGCGCTTAATCAAGTATTGCCAACTCTTATTTGTCTCGTATGTTAGTATACACTTAAACAGTACTAATTATTTATTTTGCATTTATTCTCTGTTATTATRGACCCTATAAAGGTGCATCATCCAAGTGAATAGTGCGTCACTATTGTGGAAAAATACTGGCGCTAATGTGTAGACACGACAAACACAGGAATTATTATTTATTTATAAGCGCATTTAGGATTAAATTTTGGGACGCTACTAACCGGGTTTGCAGTTCCAGTTACTTCCAGTTAAGTTTACGTCAGCAATTTAATCTCATTGATAGAGTTTTTTTTTTACCTGCCTGTCGGAGAGATGACGAAAAATATTGGATGAAACAATGTATATTGTGAAATTCGCAAAAGKTTTCGATTAACTCATTAATTAGTTGACAATTTTCAAGTCAATTAGATTAGGAGATTTCTTTAAACTAGTTTGCAATATTTTCTTCAATATATTTCAATTTATTCATTAATTAAGTGACAGTTTGCTGATTGACTCAATTAGGAGACGTTTATAAACTCATTTGTAATATCTCCACCAGTATTTATATTTTAATTATGCTTTGTTAATTGAGTCAATTAATGTTACTAATTGAATTCAATTATCATTAACTAATTGAACATTTTKTGATCAGCTTAACTAAGTAGCGTCTTTAAATTATTTTGCAATATTTTTTGCAGGAGTGAAATAGATTTTAAATTAATTTTCKTTAATTGAGTGCTTTATAAACTTTCGATGAATTCATTAACTAATTGACAATTTACTGATTTTCTAATTTAAAGAGYGCATTTAAACTAATTTACAATATTTTTCCCAAGAGTAATACATACTTTTGAACTAATTTTTGTTAATTGAATCAATTAGTAAAATTTTCTATTAACTCCTTAACTAATTGACAATTTGCYGATTCACTTAATTAAACGTGGCCTTTAAAATAATTTGCAGTATGTTCTTCAAAAGTTAAACATATTTTAAACTTTATTAATTGAGTCAATTAAGAATTGTTTTATTAACTAATCGATACTTTGCGATTCAACTAAATTAGAGAGCATCTTTAAACTACTATGCAATTACATTTTAAGAACCCTCTTATATTGAGTCAATTCGCAAATTTTCGCCCAACATATCAATTAATTTGCTAATTGACTTAAACATGACGTAAATAATAAGTAGACAATTTACTGATTTACTTAATTAAAGAGAGCCTTTAAGCCAATTGATATTGGACGGCGAACATACCTTCGACCATCAGGACCTAAGCGATTAATTTTTATTACATCGTTCCAAATGATTAACTTCCGTTGGTTTGTTGTCCCTGACCAATAAAAGTTAGCAAAGCCTACTCGGCCTTTCTTCGAATTTTAGTCAGAAGTAGGAACCTGCAAGGCAGMACCTGCCGTGAAGTCCAAATTCGACCAACGCCGAGCAATTGCTCTGTTAGATATTTGGACATTGTATTCGCCTTGAATTTAATGTGGAATGTCAGTGGAACATTTTTTTGCGTCTATTCGCGAGATTGTATGAATTCTGCGGTGTTTTTCTATTCAAGTTTTTTCGGGTGTTTTATTTGCGTGTAACATTGGAAATAGTTTTCAAATTCTGTATATGCTTAAATACATTCAAAACAATATTTTTGAGCATTTGACATTATTCGAAATTTCTTTTCCCATCTTTCCAGACCGGCCAAGGTCAAAAATGTAACTRCGTAGAACAGATATACAGCTGCTACTTTTCCTAATTAAAAAACTTGAATAATACATTTTATTATATTTTAAACCACAACTGTGAAACAYACCTTTACCAGAAATCAATAATATTACTACTAAAAACTAAATAACACTTTGAGGAATTTTYCCACGGACATTTGTCTTGTTGGCCAGACTTCACATACAACGTTGACGGTTATTGCTCTGAATCCATGTTTCATCACCAGTCACAATGCGATGCATAAGTGTTTTTTTAGTAGAATTAATGGAGCATTTTTCACATGCAAAATCGTATTTCAACGACGCTCGGCTTCAATTCATATGGCATCAGTTTTCACAATAAACGTCGTAAAGTATCCCCAGTCTACTGTCTGCCAACAAAACAGGGGAAAACAAGAGTCCAGTCGGAAGTGTATGATTCAGCGGATTCTTAAGAAATTCCATAAAGTTCACAAACTCAGCTATTTTACGCAACCAAGTATACAAACATACATATGTATGTATGTRTATTCATCAGTTCAAGAGCGCTCAAAACTGAGCGTTTCCTAGTTACCCTCTTTTTCCCTCAACGCCGTTGATTTATTTGTTTAAATAYCTCACCYGTATTGCATTCTCTATTTACCGTTGTAAGCGCCAAATTGTAAATATCTGCATTCATGCACGTGTGTGTGCTCGTGTGGCTGAGTGCAAGTTCATTTACATTTCATTACWGTTAAAACAGTTTACAGCCCCTGTTGCCTCAATGTTAACAAAATATTTACTTTTACATAAAACAACAAAAACAACAAAAACAACAACAACAAACAGCCCTTTCGGCAACACCTGTGACACGCTGACACACACAAACACATACAGCGCAAGTATGTACATATGTGTGTTTATGCATGATCGTGTGTGTGTGTGACAATTAAATATTTAGCCCTGCGTCATTTCATCAACAGCCCTTTCATCATCACCCTTGCCCGCTTCAACGCCTCCGAGCCGCTTGCTTGCTTGACGAACACAGCACAGCTCACACTACATAACAGTAGTTTGAGTAGAGAGCCTGCAGAGCGTCTATTTACTCGCCGCTTAAACTGAATAAATATGTAAATGAGAAAAGTGACAACTACAAAAACACAGTAGCTATTAGTTTCTATAAAAAAAAAAGAAAACAGAACAACAAGTGGGAGGCACAACATGTTTTTTCCAAGAAATTAAAAACGCAAAATGCCGAGCGCTGATCACACAAACAACAAGCAGATTAGCACAATGAAATATTCTTCGGAGGTGTTTTTTTCAAACTCCAAGCTATCATCATCATCGACGGATTAGTCTCCAGCTGCCGCTGTGTGGGTGCTCACCAATTGTCGTATATGTATTTGTGTGCCTGTATGTAGTGGTGCATCCGATCGGATGTCTGCTCAATTATCGCTGCGCCAGTGGCGCTATATAAAATTAATAAAGCRTTCAGATTTGACATTTATTTCAAGATTGTCGCTCGGTGGTGTACGAAATTGCTTTGCTTGACTATCGCGCATTAATTGASGTGGCATTGACATTGTAGTGACACTTCGTAAAAACTCGGTTGTGGGCCACAATCCACTTGTTCTTGTGATACCAAGAGGCTAATTTAAAATACTTCGAGATTACGATAAACTAATTCTAATCGCTTAAATTTTTTTTTTTTTTTCGGACAGAAAAGCGCGCGATAAACCCGATAATAAGTATATTGAGGCTCTGAGAGGCTAAAGCAACCTCTATGGTGTATGCTATAAACGGAAATCAAAACGAATTCGCGCTGAAATTAAAAATATATTTAATAAAAACAAAGAAAAGAAATTAAAAAAACTATAAAAGCAGAATTATCAGCAAWGTACAAACATATTCAGCAACTATAAAAAGTAAGTTCTTCTAAAGCATATAATTTTCAAACTGTTGGAAGGTGTACGAAATGATCTACTCAATATATATATATATCCGAATCCGAATTCGATCTACATTATGTATATAATTGTATTATAAAAAACCGCTGCTTAAGTGACCGTGATAAGCTTACAATCGCCATATTTTAGACATTCAATAACTTCAGCASTTTCATGTTAAATTTAACGGTTCGTAGTTCTGTGAAGCATTTAAATCAGTAAGCTACAACAAAAATCTATAATTTCGCCACTTTTTTAAGAAACATTCAGAAGATGTACACTCGTGGCTACGCAAAGCTAACCACTATACTTTCTTACATATTTTGTCGGACTTTTTTGATTGTTCGGGATTTTTTTTTTTTTTTTTTTTTTTTTTTATGATAAGCATAAGTAGACTCAGTTATATTATCTAATTGCAATTAGTCAAATTAGCTTTAGCGGAGTTTATACAAAAACGGCCGATTTTATTGTTTTTAAAGTAATTACAGAACTAAACTTCGTGTTTCAATGATAAAAAATATGACACTAATTTCAATTCTAATGTATATGAAATTAAATTAAAAAAATAAAAAACCTAATTTTTTCATCGCTTGTCAGTCTCTTACATTTCGAGCTCATTTTATAAAGCTCCCTATC